CTTATTCTTTCATAAATAAAACTTTAATTTTAATTAAAATAATTCATTTTAGATAAATATTATTCTACGAATTTATTATGCACATCGCTATTACTATTCAAGAGAAACTATAAAATAGTACATGTACATATATTTAGAGAATACATTATTCTATTCGTTAGATATTGATCTTTGCGTAAAAAAAAATACAGATAACGTTAACTATTTTTTCCGTCGACAATCAACGAGAGGCAACGTATGTAAATGTATTGATGAAGAAAGTGCATGGAAAGCACGAGCCGATAACAGTAAAAGCCAGAGCCTATACCGGCCATTGGACTATGCGGGAGATCCATTAATCTAATTAAACTGATTCACAGTCCTCCGTTTTCGGCGAGTAGTGCCCACCGGGAACGAAGAGCGAGTCGATCAGCGTAACGGTCCATTTGCTAATGCGAAAGAGTTCGATTTTCCGAAGGCAGGCATCGCGTGTCCGTACCTTGTAGCTACTCAATGTTAGCGTCCTATAAATCAGATCGGGAAGGGAATTCCATATCTATTCCGCAACGTGCGCGTTGTTAATCCTTGACGAGAACGCGGAGGATCATATCTTGCAATTTAATTTCCTTAGTTGAAATCCTCGTGCAGGTAATGTAACGGCAATTATCAACATTGCGAATTTTCTTCGTTCTTTTCCTACCGAGTCGATCGATCTCGAAGCTCGAAAGACGTACACACATACGTGGAGGTGACGAGCGTCGGCTTCCGGGACTCGACGCTCGGCCCCGTTTGCGTTTACATATGTATATGCAGGTCGGACTTGAATGCGCGGGCCCGCATGAATGCATCACGCGGACGTTGCATTGCGGGGTGGCACACGTGCAGAGCGCGACCGCAAACGCGCGCGTTCGACGTGAGATATCTCGATAATTAATCGGCGAGCGCGGCGGTGGCGGCGGTGGCGCGTGCGTGTGTGTGCACGTGCGGAGCGAGGCACGGATCGATGAGCGCTCGCGTCTCCCTTTCTGCGGAACAATTGCGTATCGCAGCCGTGAAATAGCGTATTCGAGCATCATTCGAGAACCGCGTCCCGATGCCGTCTCATTGCCAATTACACAATCGCGCGCGCGTGGGAGGCAGAAGAACGTATGTTCAATTCACACTTCTCGGAGAGAATCTGCGAAGCTGCAAAACCGCGAATAACTTTCAATAAATTCAATAAAGATAAATTTGATTACAGAGAATATGAATAAAATATAGTCTCTTTCACTGCCATTCCTTTTTTGTTTCTATGCTTTAAATATACAGACTATAAAACGAAATTAAAGATAAAATAAATTAAGTTACAGAGATTCATCTTTTCTTTACCTCTACAATCCTTTAATAAACAAAAATACATTAACACTTTTCAACTCCCTACCGTATTTCTTGAGAATATAATATAAAGGAATGACGAATATATATTTTCCAATTGATAGGTGAATAAAAATTTGTATTACATACTCGAAATAAAGAGAAATATCTCTAACAGCTTTTTTAACAACAAATCGCAGCGGCGCTGAATATAATTCATTTGAGCGTGCTCAACCAAATGCCAAATACACGAGCGGGCGATTACATAAAATTCCGCCGAAAATGTCGTGCAGTTTTACAACATCATGCGTAACGACAAGTACGGATGTTACGCACGAAATGATGCGCGCGATTTGTTCCATCCGACGAAAATAAATTAAAATCGCAACCCTTCCGAGTTGTTGCGCGAAGTTACACGAAACTGTCATTTGCCACCGCTTGAAAATTCGGCCGAAACGAACTTTTATGCGCGGCATGGCGCCATTTTCCACTCGATTTATAAATTGCGAAACGGGAGAGCGGTATCGCCGTGAAGGGCTCCACGCTACGCGATCGCTTGCCAATTCCAATAAGACTCGGCAACTGGATTTTCATAAAAAAGTTCGGCTCCGCCAGCGGCGGCAATCGCGCGGCATCCGGCTCGCGAAAAATGCGAGGAAAAAGGTGGCCGAATAATTTCCGCGCGGAACTTTCGGGTATCCCGATATTACGGGAATATACGAAATTTTTCGGTCGTTCGTTACCCGGCAAACGCGATTTGAAAGAAGTGAAAAGAATGAAAAAAGACTTGGACATGCGTTGCTGTCCAAGCCAAAAAGAGTATATCTTAATATTTCATTACCTGATGGCAATATTAAAAAAGAAATTTATTTCCGCTATTTTTAGGGATTTGCTAAGAAAATTTCTTCATTTCAAAAGTATGTGTTCTAGATTTATTCTTGTACATAAAAATGTATGCTTCTTTTAATACAAGATTCATTTTAAAAAGTGGAAAGATGCATTTAAAAAAATATATTTTTTTATCAAGATCCTCTGCTAAACAAATATTTATTTTGGATGATGACTCGTTATACAAGATACAAATTTGGCTACCCGAGTTCCCGTCAATTTCCTGCTTGAGCAAATATTTGCTTTGCATGAGAAAAACAGCGCGATACTTGAAGATGCAAAGCAATCCTTTATTTCCTGCACGCCCGCACGTGTGGATGATACATTAGACTTGATAATACGAACCCGAGAAGAGAGAGTCCCACGCGGTGTGATCACATTATGGTCGACGTTTCCATTAACGTACGCTCGCCCACGACAAAAGTATATCAAATGTTCCACGACTTGGAATTTGTAGATCGCGCCACAAATGTATGCTAATGCAAGTCTTGGTATTAACATTTAAATTCAGATACGCCGACACCTGTGTGTTATTGTATACATGCGAAACACACGCGGTAGCAAATTTAAGAATGAGAACGTTATTGCGAAAGAGAACGACGAGTGACGAACATGGTCGTTGCGCTAATAAAACAGTTGAATTTAGGCAGTCGAGCTACAATAAACACACGCTTGACAGATCGGAATCGTCAATCTTATTTTGTCGGTCGCTCTTTCATCCCTCCTTTTTTCTGACAGAAGAAACTTAGTCTTCCGCTGCTATTTTTATCATACACCTACATTTTTTTAAGGGATTTTGAAATACGAAGACGTCCGGAGATACGTTAGACGTGGTAAATAAATAAATCGGCCATTCGTATTTCGACATCTTTATCTCTTAAACCATGGTCAATATTCTGCCGTTAAATTATGACTGATATTTCTATTACGTACAAGAATACTTACTTTTCAGTCGAGTGAAGAGGAGACATTTATAGCAGAATCTCATTATTTCTATAATATACTTATATTAAATGCTACTATTGACGCCGTTTACAAATTTATATCAAATAATATATCAAATCCATTATATTGCAAAATTATATTATATCACGATATCCGTAACTTATTTCAAGAAAGATGTTTCTTACAGCAAAGAAAATTTGCCTTATTATACAACAGAGCGCAATTATGGTTGGCAACTATATTATGCATGTCGAGTATATCCGACATTAACTCAAAGTTAAAATTTTACCTCTCGGCTTTCCTCTGCCGGCTATTCTACTTGCCGAACAGTCTCACGAAGAAATTTTCGAGGGCAATTCAACAAGACGCGGCCGCGAATAAAACGTGGTAGCGTTTGCTTTATAACGAGAGCAAGACGGGGAAATGAATCCTGCGAAATCGTCAAGTCCGGGTAAAGTTTTGCGTCGTCCAAAGTTCCTTGTCGTCGGCAGCTCGCGTGGCGCGAAGGTAAAATCTCGTAATTAACGCGGATGGAAGCAGGATCGAGGCAGTAAATCTGTCAGGCCGCGAGTAGAGAGTAACACCCCAAGTTTTTACTAGCTCGACGATGAAACGGTGCTTTGAGAAGCGAGCGTGGAGCGTCGCGAAATGGCAGTAAACGGCATAGTTCCGAAAATTTAGAGCTCGATGATTGCGTGACAATTAACTTCCCTAAAACCACGACGTTTGCTCTTCATTAAAAATTGTAATCGTCATGTCCCACGTCTGTGACAAACTTGAAACTTTCGATATCTTCTTAATAAAGGCGTAAAAAAGTTGACTTTTTTTGTTGTAAAATAAATACTAAATTAAAAACACAAGAAAAATTTTATAATTAAATTGTGACTTAGATTGACTTACTTGTTAGTCCAATTTATCTTTATGATTTTAATATTCACATTAAAGTTTAAAGTTATGTGTTATTTCTAAGGACATTTGTATAATAGACACTTAATAATTATTTAAGAAACACTAACGCACTAATTTAAAGCCAATATCCTTAAACGATCGTACTTTTAATTGCTCGATCTCAAACATCATATATTATACAATTTAAATGCTGAAATAACTTCTCTCATCTATTGTGAAACTTCGCGTTTTGCATTCTCGTATTTCACCTATGAATGGAATACCTGATTTCCGTGCGAAAACGATTTCCGCGAGATTGATTATCATCCGTTCGCAGCTCGACATTTGTGTGAAAAATAAATTGGACGAACGGCCAATAATAAATTAACGATCGGCCGATGACTTTCCGATGCATTTCGATGGTCATTTCGCGAGAGACGACCGGCCGTTGCGGCATAACATTATCGCTCTCGATAATGAGTGACGATAATCGAGTCTCGTCGCTGGCGGTGCCGGTGAATGCATTATTGTCGCGATTAAAACTGACCACGAATCGTCCGGAGGTTTCCGATCTCAGTGACAATGCTCTACATGATTTGGGTTCCATATGCAATATCACGAGTATACTCCGAATTGCTGTTTTTACAATTATGATTTGAACAGTTTAAAATTTAATATCAATGAGATTTGATGTGAGATTTCTCTCTTGTTCGCTTGTTTTAAAAAGAAATTAAATTAAAGCTTTATTTGTTTTAAAGCAACATTTGTTTTTGCGATGTTAAAGTCAATAAAATCGATAAAATCTATATTTGAATAATTTAACAAAATCCTAAAAAAATTATTACTCAGGAAATTAAAATAATTTTAATTTTTATCTGTGCTGTAATTTGATTAAACAAAATTATATAATAATTTTTAAACGTACATTGTCGATATTATAACAATATTTATGTTACAATAATATTTTACCATTTATTATTTTACATGAGAAAAAATATAGTAATCGTTAGGGGCATTATTACGAGTATTTATAGCACAAAGGGCTATGTGCTCCGAATAATTAATAATTTTCTCTCTCCTTCTCTTTCTTTCTCTTCATTTCTCTTTCTTTTTCAACGAAATTGTCTTCGTAATGGCAGAGTGGAGATACTGGTAGTAACGATCGTCGTGACGTTCGTGTGTGGCGTGTGGATAATTCGATTGATTTATCCATGGCGTCGTCACCCGATAGCGCATGGCGCAATATAACACAGCCGATGACACGAAAACACCGGAAGCCCCGGACTCGATCATGCGAATTAGGCGCCGGCGATAATCGCACGCGACCGCGTCGCATTAACATATATATCGGTCGTTTATTTTGAAATCGACGCGGCGAGTGAAATTTCCGTAACGCGGGAATTTAATTTACGGTTACAAATCGGAGGTGCATGTAGCATTTACGTAAAAGCTTTGATTTATGCCACTTACACAAATTATTGTTCGCACTTTTAATCAATGCCAGGCGTTGTGATTTGCTGTATGAACTTGACGTCATTTTCTGTGAAAATTTATAAAATAAAATATCTAAATAGTAGAAGGAGGAAACGTCATCACGTGAAAAAAATTCGAGGATATTTTATTTCTATTGAAAATTAAACACGCGACTGAAAGTTAAACATGATTTACAGCTCAGACCACCCTGTATAGCTGAGCTGGCGGGTTGTCTAATAGGCGGAGAGGGAGACATAGACGCAGACGGAACATTTATTATGCTCCAGGACATTAGTCCCTTCCCGAGCAACACGAGAATTGTACATTAATTAAGCAGTAATTGGAGAGGGAAGTCAAGATGGAAGCAAAATGTTCATTACGTGTTTGCGCGAGAGAAGATTGAAAATAAAATATACTTAAGGTGAAATAAAATTCTAATATTAACCCCTGACTCTATCACAAACTAGATGTACAATTTGATTTCCTATATATGATTACAGCAATACAGCTAAAATTATTAATTCCAATAATAATCGAATAAATATATTGTGCGTGTCACGGTCGAATTTACCCGCAGAGGTGTAGAGGTCTCCGCTTTTGAGTGGTGAATTTTTGGTAGTTTAATCAAGTTCTGCGGTTTTTATCATTTTATCATCGGCACCGGCGGTTGCATTTATTTTCTTTGATAACACGCGGGGCAGGTTTTGAATAAACAACGCGATATTAATACACGCGATTCCATCAATATCGTGCATAAATGGCGCGTTAACCGCGCGGCGGAAGCATTTCGCGAATGTTATATATATTTCGCAAAAACGGCGCAAACGACCGATAGGATAATTTTTAACACCCCACTTGATGTATCGTGCGCGCGCACCGCATGCAAGCGGCCGCGCGTAACAGTAAAGCAAGATGTTAATAAATGATCGGCTTTTCCGCGAGACTCGCGCGATATCGCGCCGGGGCGCGGCGGCTGATTCGGAGGGGAGGGGGCGAAAAAAAACTGCAGCAACGAGCAACACCGCGGCCGTCACACGGCGATGCAAAATTGGGAAAAAAAACACACAGCACGCGCGACACAATCATATCACGGCGCGTCGGCCAGTATAATGAAGTCGCATAAGTTACAATCAAGCATTTTACAAACGCGCCACCGTTTTCGACGCTTGTTAGTTATCGCTAGCACGCGCTAAACCGCTCGGTATTCACCCCGTGTCCACACGGGGATGTAATTTATACACGGTTAATACCTTTCTCTCTCTTTCTCTCTCTTTTTGCTGTCGCATATATTCTTGTTTGTACGTGGTAGGTACTGATTTTGTATAGTAACAAACGATTTTTCGTCGCGGCCGTAAACCGCGCGCGATGCATTATCTCCGGCGATTTCTCGTTTTTAATTGTACTCGTTCATGGGCCGGACCGGGCCGGACCGGATGTGACTGGGCTGGTATAAAATAGAATTGGAAAAATCGCGAAAAATCGACGATTTTAATTTCTGATTCGCGAACCTCGCTCCGCGCGTCTGTCGTCGTTTTGCAATTTGCGAATAATATGCCGTAAATGAATCCGAAATACAAACGGAAAGATTAATGCGCCCGCTTTCAAGAGCAAAATTCATATCAACGAATATATCGCTTATGTACATAACATTGTTTTAACGCGCCGCAAATGTGCTAATTTCCACCGAGGAAAAATTCGCAAAGAATTCCGCGATTTAAAAATCACCTTGCTAAATATCTCGCACATGTATCGTGTTGGAATATCTTTTGTTGAAAAAAAAAAGAGGGAGGATAACATCTCTTGAATTTCGAAACAGGAATATGAGAAAATGCAAAGATCTTAAAATATGGCTGGTCCAACATCCAAACGAGTATACAAACGCCGAGCGGCGAAGGACGAGGCAACACCTGGATCCTTCTTTTTCACTTTCAGTAAAAACAGATCGGAGCAGAGCCCCCGAAGAGGGCGTAAACACTCGCTCGTTAGACTTGACGGAAGGAAATATCTCCGAGGCGGAGGATCGCGCGCGCGGCGGAAGTAACAAAATTACCTTGCCGATGATTAAATGCACTTAATCGCCGGGGCAAATTTAGCTTACTAATAATTCCCAAAGGGAGAACTTGCGCTCTCCTGTGTACCTTATCCGCGCGCCGCGCCGGTCGGTGGTAACAACGAAAGGAAAGGCAAATAAGAAAAGGAGATAAAGGGCGATGATTACTTACAACTCTCGTTCCGGTACTCTTTCTCTCTACCTTCCTACATCTCTCTTTCTTTGTCTTTCTCTCTCATTCTATGTCTCTGACCCTGTCTCTCTTGGCAGTCACTTACCTGAAACAACAAGGAATAAATGAAATTAGATTTTCAATTATCCGCCCGCGCGACCAGGCTAATTGGGCGCAACAAGAAGAAAGAAAATGAGAAAACAATCGCTCGACGCTCTACCGCTAATTAGTCGATGAGATCCTCCGCGCTTGTGAGAAACTGGGCTAAAATTTACAATCGCCCGACCGATGCTACGCAATTACATTAGGCGGCCATTGTCTGGGCGAAATACCGTATCGCTCGCTTGGTACACCCTGAAATGCAGGCGGGAGAGTAAGGTGGATCATGTTTGCAACCTGATTATTACGAGATACGGTACATGATATACCGCGAATGAAATCGCGCATCTTCCGAGGGATTTTCAAAGAGGAAAGCGAGCAGCAAGTAAAGGCAAGAAAATCTAACGATATATAAAACACGCGGATGACTAACCTGACAATGCAAATACAGTTCAAAGAACTTAATTACGGAGGACAGAACAACGACGGCTCCGGAGAAGTTTCCCCAGAGGAAACGAGAAAGGGAATGGTGGCGGAAGGAAAGAGCGTGTCGCGAGACGTCTGAAAGAATATTTGAACGTGAATACGTTTAAAGGGAAGCCTTTCAGCGGCGTAATAGCTCATTTCCGATACGCACTCTGCGGTAAACGTTAAGCGTGTTCGCGGTATTTCGCTTGGACGGTCGGCCGAGAGCAGCGTAAATAGCGGTTTTTCCATTAACATTGGTCTCGCAATCTAGATCTGCCTGGCAGCAGTCTCAAAGCCCTCATGGAAAATGATAAGTAACTGCCGTCGCTGCTTGTGCAAAATTCAACTTCCGCCGCGCTGTTTAGCTTTACAAGAAGCTCGATAAGCACCGCATCCGCTTCTCCGGTTAACAAAACGCGTATTGACGAGAGAATTCTCGTACACACAAAATGCCTTCTAAGTTACTTTTTGCCTACTACAAACCGCAAGTATGACAAAATAATGATTCAATAATAATAATTTAAAGTAATAATTTTTTAATATTTTACGAAATAAATATCATATCGGCCTAGATTGAAATTATTGTTAGTTACACGCTCACCTTTCAATGCGTTCCTCCTTATAAATATTAGCGTATTACGATAAATATTATCATAGTCTTAGAGTTTAGACGGTAAGACACCCGCCTCGAATAGGATCGGAAGGTTCCAGCCAGGTTTAAAATTTCGAATGGGATATTTTTTGCAATAAATTCTTTACAGATTTAGAATGCTTGTAGCATCCTCCTTGAATTGACGATCAATTTAATTTGATAATATTTCAGCTTTAGATTATGATTGCGCTCTTAAAAACCGGCAGTAATGGCGCGCAGTTTATTGTAGCTGGAAGTTAAAAATTAAAAATATGTATTGTATTTTGAGCACAACATCTAGTCTCGGCGTTTCCTCTTCGTTTATTAAATAAATATCATATATTCCAGCAGTAATCCTGTCTTCATTTTTATATAAACGTATATTGTTTTAACATTTTTATTTACACAGATTTGGCACATTTAATTTCATTAATTGAAATATTTTTTGTCAACAGATCGAAAGTTCTGAAAATCGGCGATCTATTGAATTAAACTGTAAATTAATAATTCTCGGTGAAAAAGAAAAAAAGAGAAAAAAAGAGAAATATAACTCGGCAAATACAATAGAAAGTTTTGAAGTTCGATCGAACGATTATGCAATTTATGATTTTTGTCGCGTAACCGCGTCGGAGAAAGAGCGCATTGTTAGAAAGTGCACTAACTCGGTGACAGGTACAAAATAGTACCCTCGCAATCGACTAATGCACCTCCCAGCGATCGAGTTTCTCCTTTTATTACGCAACACTAGCGCAAATCTCTTTTGCAAACAACTATGAAATTTGAACAATTTAATTACAAACAAAATATAAGGTTTCCTATAATTACGAGAGAATCTGAAACAGCTGCGCAGACGGGATCGTTAAATCACTGGATTGACGTCCATCACAATAATCGGACGTACGGACGCTGGATGATGTTAATTAATTAGCGAAATAATGAGCGAGCACTGATCAATCTCCCTCTCTCTCTCTCTCTCTCTCCGTGTTATTAAATATTTTCTCGCTCGATTAAACGGGCCTGCCGCGCCGCCGGCCTGACCGTTCGCCAAACTTCCGTTATACCCCGGGAACTAACTCCGATAACGGTTGAAAGTCCTTCGAGGAATCGTAAAGCCAAAATGCGAGACGAATTAGCGCTCTACATTACATAAACGTCTCTCGTCCGCGCTTTCAGCACAATTACTTTGACAGTTTTAATCTAAAACTCGATCCCCTAAGCTTTCATTAGCATTTCGCGTTTAAACTCACCAACTCTCATCGCATCATATATATTCGTGTTTATACCAAGTTACTACAAATTTTCAACTTTCTAAACTAACCGTACTTTTATAGTTAACTAACTTGCGCAATTTGTTGTTTGATGCGCGTTTAATGCTCATGTATACAGTTATATAATTGTATTGAACTGATATTCTCCGTTATTATACACTTGCGTTTATCACTACCTTTTTGTTTTGTATCGCGCGCGTATCTGTCAATATACAAATATAATTATTTTCTGTAGCTCATTCCAGGAGCGAAATAAGTTACTACCGCTCATTATACAATCCGTCTAATAGGCAAATAAGAAATCAAATGGCCGCATTTATCATCAGCTATTCGATGACTTTAGAGTTTAACGCTTACTCCAATTACGATCCGTCGATAGGATAAACAACTCGGACCGCTATGTGTACCGCTAAACGCGAACGGAGAATGCAAATTATTACGAAACGAAAATGCGCTCAGCTGGTTACATTGACAAATACTGCAGGAGCTGCCGGCCGCGTGCTCGAGCCAGAACGTGCACGAGCGGAGAATTCGTCGGCGCGACTCTCTCGCGGCGAGACGCAAATTACGCTCGACAGACGCGCGCGCGCACGTTCATAACATCACGAGAGATGCACTAATTAGAGGAACAATAAGTTCCACCGTCGCCGCCGCAGTATTCACTCGCGGACTTCATCCCGCAGCCGGAGCACAATGTACCACTGCGTTGTTCGTAATCAACAATGTTGTACCTTACGCAAGAGCCATTATATTTATCGCGCGCGCGCGCCCGCGCTTATGCAACGCTTTTGCCTTCCGCGTATTGTATACGGTGCATTGTGTCACGGTGGTCAAACAAATGCGCGTGTTAACGCCGTTCATCGAGCAGGAACTGCACGCCGTTTGCAATAAGCTGAAATCCTCAAACTGTGCTCAGGAATTGTGCGCGAGGTGATGAAATATAATAATTTTGCAAAGACTTGCGTGAAATCCGCTGAATTTCATGTAGTCATGCATTTATTTAATTTACCTTAATTTACTTTTTTTATAACAAAAGTTTAATTACGTTTACGCACATAAAACTTTTGTATTTATTATTTTATTAGAAGCCTATTCGCTTTCATCAAGGATTTATTAAATTATTGAGCCTTTCAATATTTTCCGTCCCACATGTATATGTACTGCTAATTTATAACTAATAAATTAATTATGAAAAGAATATTACAGGTGCAAACGAAGAGGAATGTTAAAGTGCACGCGTACATGAGAATGTTATCGCGAAAGATATTAACACAGTCCATATATGAGAAAAGCTGAAGATAAAATCTGGGAGAATTAATTCCTTCCACATTGTAGCAACTTGAAAGTGCTGATATGCTGGTTGCATACCGATGCACTCGCGATGGCGCAAGGGGCGCGCATAAATATGTGCGAATTACGCATACGAATGAATTTATATCATCATATACCACGTATGCAAATGCAACACGTTCGCCGCGTGCAATATGCAGAGGACGGTAACAAGCGTATTTCGAATCAGCATGTGCGCGCATGATAAAGATTTAAACTTAAATCTTGAACTTTACGCAAAGGACGCGAGCGCGCGCGCGCGCGTGTTGCTCAAATATTCTCTGTCTGCAACATATTTTTGCTGGCACACTCGAGAACAGCATAGATTTATAACGTAAAGATTTAAAAAGCGCTCACAGATTTTATGTTTTATTTACGCAAATGATTTAAATATCAAGCATCAACAGAATAAACCACAATCTTTTTTCCCAGCTCAACTTTGCAAAGTGTTTGTCAGCTAAATTGACCGTCCGCGTCGCGTTTTCCGCGGCTTATTTCTTTTTTTTTTTTTTCTTATCGCTTGCACAATATCAATTCTCACGATGCGCGATTACGTAACGCCTTTTTGTGGCCATCGCCGGTGGCGCAACCGCCGCATTATGAATAATACATAAACGTTCAAAGCTTACGTCGCGTCGGTCTGTTGACGATTCGGTAACACGGGACGAAAAGCTCAGCGCAAACTCTGCGTCTTTGCAGCTTTCTTATCTAAGGTGCGGCTCCGCGGACTTCGCCGCGAAGTACGAAACATTTATTCCGCCGATTATGCGGCGACGGCGGCGGGAGATAACAACTCGCGCTGTGTCAGACGGACGGAGAGACGTTATCTGTGCTCGCTGTGCAAAACAACGTCTATAGGATGATGCCCCGTTCCCACGTGTCGCGGTTTCTTTCCGGAGACTATGACAGGTCTCTCCGCGTAGTTACCCGGTGTCGCGCGATGTCTTATCGATCGACATTGAGTTGCCCGATCGTAAATTGACAGAAATTCAATTGCAAAGTGATGAGTAAAGTGACGGGTGGCGGCAACTATTATCTGATTCCGCGGCTGCGCAAAACAATTAGCTTTTCGTGGAGTGTTCAGTGGTGTTTAATGTTTATTAGAAAGGTACAATAATGTTAAAGAAATAATTTACTGTCGAATAAATAAATGGTTTTTCTTTCGGCTAATAATTTACATTAAATTTACATGAAAAAGAAAAAAAAAATTTTTCTCGAAATTAAAAATAAATGTGTATGTATGTGTATACATACGTCATGCTCAAGCTTGTTCATACAAAAGAATTTTACCGGATACACGACGGAATTTCT